TCTCGAGGCACTTGATGAGGAAGAGATCCAGGGGCTCTGACAAACCCCCTTTGGAAAGCTGGTAGATATAGCTGAGAAACCCTGGTTTTCAGATAGATTTTCTAGGTATCTATTGTCAAGGCAACTGAAAGTCAAAAAGAAACACGAAGCCTGGTTACTATAAGATTTTCGCTTCGAAAGTTTGCTATAGTTACTGGTCTTCCGTGTGGTGAATTTTCCAAGAAATCGAAGCTTAAGAGGAAGAAAAACATCACCAAGAAACCCTATTGGCAAGTAATATTTGGAAGGGTCGAGGAAATGAGAGTTCCACAGCTTTGAAGATGCTCCGAAAAAAAAAGCGTTAAAGACAGAGATATCCGGATGAAAGTTGCTTGCCTTGCAATTGTCTCTTCTGTGTTGTTGTCTACTAATCTCCGCATGAAGATGTTGAAGGAATACGCGGACATGCTTGTTGATATGGACGACTTCTTTAAATTCCTTGGGGTAGACTAGAGTTTGATATGTTGATGACAAGTATCAAGAAAAGAGATGAGATTTCTTTATTAGGTAACACGATAGCCCTCAAAGGATTTGCGTTGGCCCAGCAACTCGTCATTGTTGAAGCAGTTCCTGCTCTCACTGAAGTTGTCCAAGAAGCATGTTCTTCATCAGAGTCAGACAGTGACGATGACAAGGTAGATCGTTTGGCTAATAAAAGTAAGAAGCCGACATTGAGTCCTTCCCATGCTAGGGAAGTTGATAGGAAGGCTCTGGTATGTACACATTCAAACTTTGGGTAATATTAGTTAAACTAACAAGTCCACTAATGTCCGAATATTTACATTTTATATTGACATTTTAGGCTTTGGTGACGAGCATTATTCCAAATGATCCTCGAAGGCCAGTCCAAGATTCGGTGGTGATATGGTCCGACGATGTTGTTGATCCAAGAGTTGATAACTTGGTTCGACTTATTGGTACGACGAACCATTTCCCTAAGGATATGATTAGAGGTGGGGTTAGTAAAGCAGATGTAGAGAAGATGCGTGATGAGGGAAAAGAAGTAGGCAGAAGAAAACACCTAACAAAGAACCAGATTGATGTACCTATAGACAGCCTTGACGAAGAAAAAATAAAATCCGTTGTTAACTCAATTCTTAGACCACAGATTGAGCGAGTTGAAGGGAATGTGTCTGAAGCTGTTGCAACAGTGAAAGAGTTGTCAGTGAATGCAGCAGCTTACTAGTCATCTGTTATGTCAACTGTTGAAGAAATGTTCAAGAGTTTCAAAACGGATATTCTTTCCTACTTGGAGAAATGTAGTTTTCAGCCACCCGCAGAAGGACAACAGCAAGTTGGAGTCAAAGGTGGATGCATTGGTGGAAGAGAAGTTGTGCCCAATAATACTCCTGTTATGCGCGATGAAAACGATGAAGATGTTGATGCTGTGCTTCGAAATATTTCTCATTACTCGACGCCTGATGGTTCGGGAAAACGTTGTCCCGTAAGTCCCAATGCTTTTACACTTGGAAAATATAAATTTGTAAATTAATTTATGTATCAATTTGATGGCATTCTAAGTAGTCTTTATAATCCTGATTTCTATAAATTTTGCTGGTTAAACAAATAACAAAGATTAGGAGATATAATCCCGGTTGTTTATTATAGATAGCATTATCTTAAGTTGTGACCACTATACCATTATCACCTCATTATATTCATATAGTCATGGACATTGTGGAACTAATTGCTTCCATTTCAGGGATCCGAGGTCCAGTTACATAGACAGGTATCCCAATTTCCCATCGACGGTCATACAGATCAAACCAATCCGCATAGTGGTCAATTAACGAAGCCTATGTCTGCTAGAAGGCTGTCACTCAATGTTTCACAAGTAAAGTTCTTAGCTCTGGTCTTTATACATCTATAATATCAAGTTTAAATAGTTAAAAAAAAAAACTAAATAGGAAAACTATGCCTATTGCATCTGGTAATTTCATTACCCTGTTGCTTTATGTTGGATATTCGTTATGTATTAAAATAACTTCTCCTGCCATCTCCTTATAGTATACTCTTTTTGCTTTTGTTCAGGGATCTGCCTCTAACGCTCCTCTGCACCCTGCGGAGGTCGGTTCTGTTGGAGTCATAGATGGTGAGATAGGCCAGCAGCATTCTGTTACAGCGCAAAGTGAGACGTCCATACCAACAGATGCACATGTAAAACTTTGGACCGCTATAACCTTACTATAAATAATGCATATTTTGAAATACAACCTACATATTAAATTTGTATAGGTGTTCCATGATTTCATCGATCTTCTGATTCCTTCTTTTTCACTTGGACTTACTCATGAATTTCTAACGGTACGCGCACATGAAGATGAAAATATTGGAGTAGCTCAAAAGGACCCAGTCGTAGAAGGGAAAGAACATGAGATGGGGGAAATTAAGAGAATTTGATTTGTTGGAAAAGTAAGCGCATAAGGCATGTCCCTCTTCAGCTGATCAGTGACTACCTCTGTGGGAATTCCATTCATAATCGTGCACCTGAAAATCAAATTTCACGGCTAACTTGCTATGCCCCTTCTGAGATTCGTGAGAAGTACCTGCGTCTGAAGTTGCTAGTTAAGAAAGACTGGTATGTTGTCAAAATCTTCTGAAATCTCACAATTTTATATATTTTAAAATTCTTCCTCATATATACCATTCAACATCAACGCATTAATCGTTGTGAATGTTACGTGCAGTGTTATCAATTTTAATGGTCTGTCTGTGACTGGAAAGGATTTGGTTGATATTGGTGAAAGGAACAAAGTCCTTCCAGGGCTAGTACGTAAATGAGCTTTTACAGATTATGCTATATATATGGTCATTCATCTTATTGGATTATTATGTTTATTCAGGTTGTCGATATTCTAACAAGGCTTGTTGCAGCCAACTTCTGCAATCACGAGTTGGGTCGAGGTGACACTAAATATGTCTTCCTCGATAGTAGGGTACAGGTTTTGTTATCAAGGAACTATCCAAAGTTTAAAAAGTCTAAGATGAAAGAGGCCTATGTTTTCACAAAGGCTATGGTGGATTGCATAACAAAGAGTTCCGATATATTCGATGGTGTGACCAGGTTCTACATTCCTTTTAACGTGTATCACAAACATTGGATTGGTCTTTGTGTTGATATTCTTTCGTGTAAGATATTTGTTCTCGACTGCAACACTGGAGTCATTCTGCCTGATGCTTTGGTCAAAGAGCTTCTTCCAATATCAGAGATGTTTCCATACCTGTTGAAACATATTGGAAATGCTGTTGAGGTAGCGGGGAATGAATTCCAGGTCAAAAGAGTACAATGTATCCCACAAATTTCCAACCCCGCGGACTCTGCCTTCACTGCCTGCCTTTTGATTCAAATCCATGCTGTTTGGTCGTGCCTCATGTACATCTGTCACTCCACCTGCCATTCCTGTGGAAGCACAAAAAGCAGCTGTCATGGTGTACGAGTTCCATAAGAAGCTTTAGGTTTAAGTTCCTATGTTTTATAATCACTTTAAGAATGATACTTATTCGGTTGTTCTCAAATTGTGTGGTTGTAGTAAACTAAGTAGTTTGTATGTCTGAGTATTTGTCACTGGTTTTCCTTACACTACGCATTGTTTATGTTTCAGATATTTAACTATTATGTTTAACAGTAATGTTTAATATTTTCTACTCCATAGTTCTATTGTCAATTTGGTCAATGTACCTTATCCCAACCGGACGTTAACCCAAAATCTTAATTATTTCAAGGGCTTTTAAAGTTATATACATGAAATTACCAAAAAAGAACTAGAACCTAACTGAGAATTGAACAGATACCCGACTATATTATAATATTAACATTTATTATACGTATCCAAATTTAGTTGATGATATCTAAATAACATTTAAATATCTGAATTAATTGAGAGTGTCCAGATAATTTTATTAACTTATCCAAAATCATCAGAAACATATAAATTTTGGATTTTTATCCAGCTAATTAATTAATATATACATAAATATTAATTAATATTTCCCACCTCGAATTTACAGAAACTAAATGTCGAATTAAAAAAATGTTTATTTTTAATTCCTAGTTTTCCTATATGAATCGAACGTGACACATTATAATCGAGGTCGTTAAGTACACTATCTCAAACCGGACGTGAACCCAAAATCTTAAATATTTCATTGGTTTTTCAATTTATATAGCTGAAATAACCCAAACCGAACCAGAACATAACGGGAAATTGAACGGATACCCAACTTTATTGTAATATCAAAGTTTAACAAAATATGTTTTATTTTTATATAAATTTCTATTATACGTATAGAAACTTATTTGATGATAAGTAAATAAATTTTAAATATCTGAATTAATTGAAACTGTTCGGATAATTTTATTCACTTACTCAAAATGATTAAAAAAACATATAAGTTTTGTATTTATATCCACCTAATTAAGACTGAACAATAATCTATTTTGCTATTAGGTACTTCTTTTAATTACTACAGTATGTAAACACACATATATCTAGACATTAAATTGTTTTCCGCATTTAAGCACCATATACCATTTTATACGGTTTACGAATTCGTGTATCTATTTTGTTAAGTTGCATTCCCGTTTAACAGTCAACTAGTGTAGTTTTATTGTAAGATATCTTTATATCCGACTTCTGATTTTGAAATCCTTAATCTTTTACTTCATCCGAGTATAGTTAATACTTTCCGGTTAATTTTCAGGTATATATTTTGGTATAATACAATGAATTTGGAACCCCATTATTTCATATAACACATCTTTATTTCATATATAACATCAGCATAACATACAAAACAACAAGTACCCCATTCAAACACATTTAAACATCAGAAAACTAAGCCATCTTACCATCCATAAAGTTAATACCAACCGGAGAAAAATATTACACATATCGGAAATGCATGACACCAGCATTATGATCCTATCACTTATTTATTACATATTAGGGGCAGCAGTTTGTTCATGCATCCCCATCTAGACCAGTAATTCCATCATTATCCTTTGTATTCTGAAGATTTCCCATCTCTAGCTTAACATCTAAGTCCGGCAGAGTTTTACCAACCGGCACAGATGATGACTCACCTTTGCATACATTATTTTACGTATATAAATGTTAGATAATTGTAAATGTTGTTATTATGTAATTAAATATGGATTCAAACCTTTCTCCTGACAAACTTGACCTCCGAAACCAATTGTTTTTTTTGAGGAGCTTATGTCATTCACCATTTCGACAACGGTTTTGACCTCGGTTGAGGAAGCCGTTGATGAAACGTCGATAAGATTGCCGTAACCAGAAGTAGGTTCATTAGTAGTGTACCCATGCATATGATGTGTATTAAGGTTTCCTATATTGAGGTCATTAGTGACGTATCCAACATATCCAGATCCATGAACTCCATATATGCGTTGGAGCTCCATCGCATAAGTCAATGACATCAAGTTCTCCCAATACCATGGTCTGATGTGTATGGTGTGCCAAGGTGGGGTATAGAAATATGGGCAATACGCACAATGAGGAAAACTCTGCGTCATATCTCTTCCTAGGTTAAAAGCTTCAAACCCTAGAGAATGAAAGACAAAATTTGTGATACACAATTGAAAGTACTGTGGAAACATCAGTAAATGAATGAATGTATAAAAAAGAGATTTGGACAACACAATCATACCCAAATTTGGAAACGCAGTAAACGGAAGATGAAGACCACTGATTTGGTTGTGAACCTCACGATTTTCAAAATTTGGTACCATCTTGTACGTGGGTCTCCACATAATCGTTCCCAATATTAGGAAAAATATGGTCGTCTGCTTCGACCTGTGGTCCTATATTTAGGTCAAGACTGTTTTTCGCCTTTTCCATCTCCAAAGAGAAACGGTACACTAGAAGCATTTCATCCTCGTCAAACATTTGGTTGAGGAGACGGTCACTGTAGAGTATTTTGTTTCCTCTTATAATATCTGTAAATAACATAGATAAAATATTAATATACAACTTTTATCAGACAAAATATATGTATGTTAGCTAACCTAAAACCAACGCCATGTGTTCCTCCTCTGTCCCACCCTCGCCTAGGAAATTTAGAGTGCCGATTGTAAAAGGTGCTCTGCATCTAAAATGGAAAGTAGCAACATCCTCAGCACCAAAGATCACGCATATGTGTGGAGCAACATCACCTTCATGCATGGTCATCATCATATCCAAGTCTGCGTTAGTGAGGATATTGTGTGGAGGCCATGTTTCTCCATTCGGCTTTAACATCCATTGGGGGAGTTGGAAAGTGAGAAGAAGCGGTGTCTGCGTGGGAAGATGGAAAACACCTCTAACAATGTTCATAACTGATTAAACCTGATCTGCGGTCCCAACTAGTATGTTATGTGTTGGAAGTGTATTATCCTGTTCGCACACCCACACCCCCTGCTGGGTCTTTGACCACTGACCCTTAAATACATGCACAACACGAGACATCTGTATAAATAGATAAACAACATTAGTGTGAGATGAAAGTAACCAACCGTAAACCAAATCGTGTAAAAGTTACTATAAAAATTTAGCTGTTACATAGGGTCATCTACTAAATAATCAAAAATAAAAGGAATGTACTGATTAATTGCAAAGAAATCACCTTTTCGACTCTTCACCACTGCTGATACTTCTAGTGAACTAGAGTTCTTCTCAGTTTTGTCAGACACTACCCGGTGTTTCTAGAGTTAAATGGGTTTGTAAATCCTATAGGGGAACCACCTATATAAAGGACAATGGAGAATTTAGAAACCGGTAACATGGACAGATGGAGGTCAAAGGAGATATTGAATCCATATCTTCACATTAAATGCCGCAGCCTATCTAGGGTTAGGTTGACATCATAACCCTACTTTCTCTGCCATGACAAAACAAGTCACTAAAATTTATATTAATAATGTCGCTTTCTGAAAATTCTATCAGCTTAAACACGTCTTTTGGAATTAAAGATTTGGGTGAATATATTATAAAGATAATTGTTTAACATGTGGTCCATAATGAAGGAGGATTAAATCAGATATCCCACTATCCTTGGTATTGAAAATTTGTTATACGTATATCTTCTGATAATTACGTAATGTATTTTTTTCCATTACTTCTATATTGGTTACCAAATTGCATATTATGTGCACTATATGTATAGCCATCGTCGTATATGAAACATAAGAGAGTTATTATGCCGAATACTAATCGTAATGTCCATGTGTGAAATAAGATATATTGTTGTGATCATGTGCAAGACAACATAATTCTAGGTCTATATTCCATTAGTGTACATTGTATCCGGTAGGATTACGAGTTTCGGTTATCGGTTCGGTTCGGTTTAAGTATTTAGGGTTTCTGGTAATTTGGTTATGGAGTTTGAGGTTCCATTTGATATTTGACATATTTTATGTTTAGGTCGATTTTGTTCGGATACTATCAGTTTTGGTTAGTAAAATTTGGAATTAAAATTAGGAACAGAACTTTTATCTTATTGCCTACCTATTCGGGTTTGGATAGTTCTGGTATTTTATAAAGTATGTATAATAAAATATTAAATATTTAGAATGATTTATATACAAGTTTGAGATATATCAGAACATATTGGAAATTTGAATAAAATAATCCGTATAAATACCGGTAGTTTCGATATGTTATAATTTTTTTATTCAAATGGTTTCTTATACTTATATTATATTGTAACGTTAAAAGGTTTTTCGGTATGTTATATGTATATGACATTAACATGAATATATATTTGCGTAAATGTTTGGTTTTCGGTTAGTAGTAGTTTCGGTTCGGTTATTCACGATATAAGAATTGTTGGGATAGTTTAAGAGTTTATGGATTCGGATATTTTGGTTCGGTTCCGGTTTGAATCGACGGAACCGGGTTTTATCTCAATATCTATTAACCGGTATATTTTGAATAAATTCTGATTTCATAAAAACTAGAAGGACTTTCTATGTAAAGCTAATTACAAACTTCTGCAACCAGATTTTATATTATTGTAAACTAAAGGATACAACGTATCTCATATCTTTCTATTAAATGTGTGCAGTCTATATATGTCTAGAGTAACATCATTACGTCTGTTTATGACATGACAAAATACTTATATTCTGTTAATTAATTTGTTAACTTTAAATCCTTGCGGTTCTAATTAAATTGACGTAGTCTTTGTTGAGCTAAAGAAAAATATCTTCAATAGTAAGTTACCTACACAACGTGGTTGTTCAGTAACCATGTTTTCATATTTTCAATTTTGGTTTAGTTAATTACATAAAATCGATTTGGTCACGGAGTACACGACCCAGTTTCTCTCTTGTGTGTTACGTTGTTGAATATCAACTGTAACTTGTAACCAAATGCCTCTCTTCTATTCATAATGCATTTAGTTCATTTTCATTGTTTCGTTCAAATTACTCCTAAGTAGGTTTCTATATCAGTCTATTTTAGGTATATTATATGATAGTTAAATATGTTACATGTTTTAGATTGAAAAAATATTATTTGCCAACCCAAAATGGTTCATACCGTCCACGTATTCTATTGGATTTTATGAACCCTTTATGTTCTAAAATGGAGGACATCTTCATTATATTTGAAATTTTAAGTCAAACTTTAGACAATTATATTATCCTATTGTATCCATGTATATTCGGTTTTAATATTTCGTTGTAAGATGATGTCATTTAAACATCTAATTTACCTCCACCTCCGAGACCTAAAATTTGTAACTGGTTTAGAACCCCAATGTACAATATATATGTTAAAATACCTGATATAATGTTATAAATATACAACAAAGTAACTTTAAATAATTTATTCTCTTCATTACTTCCTATTTTGTTTTAAATAAGCTATTGTTATTAGCTACATTAAGTAGTCAATGACATCTATGAATTGGACCCAATAATTAAATATTTTTACGTTTACTACCCTTCACGAATTCATTATCTTAACATCAGCTTACTTGCAAAAGAGAAGTTGTTATTATTTATTTTACAACCTCGAGAAACTTAATACACCTTCCACTACCCAAGAACTGGTTTACTTTATACAATGAAATTATTCTTTATTTTTAGCCAGTTCTATTTCCTCCAATTTGTACTGACACCTTCATCATCCGAGGAACAACCTTTTTTTTTTACATTATCAGCTTTCAGATTGCCATTTTGCAAGTTGCTTTGTTATGACCCAAACCCTTGCATTGACTACACATCGTACGTTTCTTCTTTCCTCCCATCTGCATAAAACCAATTTTTAGTTTATTGGTAGTTCTCGACAATTGAAATTACTACGTTCAATCAACGTCTTACCTCAAATTCACTTCTCGATAAATGACGATTTTTTCTAGGTCTTCCCAGTGGCCTCCTGCTAGCTGGCGGATTAACTGACACCTGGCTTTCATATCCATCACTGGATAGAACTTCAATGGTTTCGTACCCAATAACAGGATAAATGATATGACTGTAAGCTGCCATGTATGTTGTTGAGTGTAACATTCACCAACGAGTGAATCCACCCGGATCTTGTACCTTGTTGCTGCAGCGATGGCGTGTTTGCATGGAATGAGGAGTGTTTGAAATTCATAGAAGGTACATGTTTTGTCAAGTAAATTAACTTGACATGTGTGTTCTTCTTTGTCTCGGACCTCATAATTTCCTTCTGCTATCATGTTTACCCAAAGCCCGCCACTCTTCTCAAAGTTTGCTGACACAATTTCATCGACACGTGGAGTCAGGATCTTACTTGCACCCTTATTGAGTTCTCTCCTAGCAGCAAACCAGGACAGAAGCTTAGCTCTTACGTATTCAATGAGAGATAGTATTGGATATTCTCTTGCGTCTCGTAAAACCGAGTTCCACGTTTCAGCCACATTACTAGTCATAACGTTGTATCGGTTTCCAGCAAAGTGAGATCTTGCCCAATGTTCGAAACCAATACCTAATATGTACTCTGCACAAGATGCATTAACCTTTTTAATCTCGTTGAAAGTAGTGTAGAACTCTGAAAGGCGGTATGCCCGTGCTGCCTTCCCAACCAGGTATCCCAAGTGCTTATCTTTGAAATATGTCCTTATATTTTTTTTAAGGTGAAGTATGCATGCGCAATGTCGACACATTGGATAGACCTGATTGCAACAATTAAGTTGAAATTGAATAAGCATGATTTTAAAATATTTAAATGCAAAATTTATATTCTGAATAGACATGTTTTAGATTTAGATTGTATGTTTCCGGTTTCACGATATTAAATCCCGTTATTAATACATAATTTAAGTATAATAAAATTATGAAACAGCTAACGGTTGTTGCTTTATAAATTTAAATATTACATCATTACCATCGCAATCCCAGAGTATATATATTGATGGATTTTGGTCCGAGACAAAAGCAATGTCTTCGTTGTTTGGTATGAATTGGGATAGTTGTGTAAAAAAACCATTCCCAAACTTTGTCATTTTCTCCATCTACAACCGCCACTGCTAAAGGGAATACTTGATAATTGCCATCTTGAGCTGAAGCAGTCAATAAACAGCCAGCATATTTTCCTCTCAGGTGCGTACCATCAACTATTACAACTTTCCTCATGAATCTGTAACCTTCAATACTTGCAGACAAAGCCAGGAACATATATTTAAACCTATGCCATATTCCCTCTGCAAACTCTGTGTGTAATTCAGCAATAGTCCCCAGATTAGCATGTACTAGCTTTTCGATGTAAGAGGGGAGGAGATTGTAAGAAGCTCCACATGATCCTTTAGCATAGTCTAATGCTATCTCCCTTGACCTCCATGCTTTCCAATAGGAAATGTGGACGTCGTGATCTCCTTGCATTGCTTCCCTAATTTCATTTGGTCGTGGTCCCCCCCCGACCAGCAAATTTTGCCCTCTTCATCCCTCCAATGACTGTATGTGTTGCTTGCGACTGGTACCCGGAACGATCGTCAACAGTGCAACAATGGCCTAAATTAACTATCTTCACCTCATACAGTGCTGTGTTTTTGAGTATTGCAGCATAGACTCGCCAACTACATGTCGGGCTAAAACATCGGAGAACCATCCCACTTGGGCCAGAATGAGTATTTCGGAATCTGAACTTGTTACATATTGCATAAATCGCCATATGCTGTTTGAAATTGTCTTGCGACTTGAATATCATACCAACGTAAATCTCTTCGGGATTATTAACTTCAATACAATAACTTTAATTAGGACAAATATTCCAAGTTTTATGCTCATACCTTTTTCAATTTTTGGTTCACAAAATATATTTTTCAAACATATTATACTCATTATTTTAGTCTAAACTAATACGAAAATACACTTAATTTTGACCAGGATATCAATATAAAGATGATGCTTCTTATTTATCATTGAAAAGATGGCACCACCCTTGATACCTTGAAATTTCCAAAGAAAAATCTTCTATAACAAGTCTTTCTCTTCCAATAGGGT